TGAGTTTAAACATAAATATAAAGGTATGTGTCAATCAAGATATATGCAAGAACAGGCTCTATGATTAATTAAGTGGAACATTGTGGGTGTGGTGTATGAATGTTAACACTGTAATAATTTTTTAGTATATTTCTTGTGTGGTGTAGAAGACAATTAACTAAGAATGTAATTATGTAAGAATGTTAACAATCTGTAATAATTTGTTAGTATATTACTAGCGTGGTGTAGAACAAAATTATCTATATAGAGATACTGCTTGCAAACCAATGATGGTAAGATGATGTCATGGGGTAGGACTAGATAAGTCTAACTTCTTCCTACTCTGTTCAAGCATGTACTAGGTATAAGCAAATTGATAATGGATTAGCATTTGTGGATATGTGTGTTGACATATCGACTATCTTTACATGTTTGAAAGAATAAATAAATCAAATCAAATCAAATCAAATTGCTCCACAAGACTCTGTTGCTCCTCCCACACCTGATTCCTTGTTGAGCACCACCAGTGGCAGCATCAAAAGGCAAAGTCAACCCAGCCCTACTTTGCAGGACTAGGAATATCTCACGGCGCTATGAGAGATAGGGGAAAGGAGGATGAATGAAATGAAATGGAGCAAGGGAGGACGAAAGGGTCAAGAGGATTTGGACAGCTGTGTAGAATTAAAAACAAAACTTCTGTTGAAGCTCATGACCATGGCATTTCTGTGTAGTTTTCATACTCTTTGGAACTCGAATAACATTGTTGTGTCTGTATTTGCACTTGTCTCTTTTGGTCTGCAGTGCACAGTTCATTCTTTTAAACCAAATCAGTGTAGATTTAGATGCCCCCCCTTCCTCCCCCATTTTCCGAGTGCTATTGTTCGACACATTCCTGTTTCTCATTGTAGCACGGCACAGGTGGACTAAGCGGAGCATAGTGTGCCGACAGGGCATACACATAGCCTGGGGCCAGTCCATTCCTCAGTAATATCCAGCCTAGGGCCTTTTCCCTCACATTAATCAGTTAATGTCAATGGGCCTCTAAAAAGACCCCTAGCCCCCCACCACGCCTTATTGAACTGATGTGTCCTTGAGCTGCACATGGGATTTACTCCACCTTTACATGATGTGATAAAGCTTAGACAGCTACACAGGGCTAATCACTGAGGCTCTTTCCTCAATTGAAAGAGCTGAGCTATAGAGAATGGCAAGGAGATGAATGTGGATTTTTGTTGGTGTTCTGGTCGAAGGAAATGGGAAAGGGCAGTGTGTATGTGTGTGTCCACACACCTGATCAGGATTATGTTCCAGGGGGCAGTTATCGCACATGTCTCCCACCCCGTCCAGGTCTGTGTCTTTCTGGTTGACGTTGTACACATAGGGACAGTTGTCATTCTCATTCATTATGCCTGGGGAGGGAATGTCAGTATATGATATGAAAATCCAGATTAGGAGTTCACAATACTTGAAAAGCATAGCAATGCAGAGGTCCCAAGGACTGTGTACATCTAAGTTTCCAGTCCTTACCATCTCCGTCGATGTCCACAGCACAGGCATCTCCCTCTCCATTGTTGTCTGTGTCCGTCTGGTCAGGGTTACTGTTGTAGGGGCAGTTGTCACAGCGGTCACCAACATCATCATGGTCATAGTCATACTGTCTTGGGTTGTAGATGAATGGACAGTTGTCCTGTTTCAAAAAGAGAGGACAACTGGTTTTAATAGACATATCATTGGCTGTTTTTTGTGTGTGGATCTATTTACAGGAGGGAAATGATACAGAATGAAAAAGGCACTTTGTTTTCAGGTGCTGTCCCAGATCTAATGGTAGGATTAGCAAACACACAGTGTATCGCCTTCAGAGCTGGAACTCAGTCTTTGAATTTGAGGTTTTGGACCCAGTTGGAGAGAAGCATTTACTTTCCTGC